TTTAGAAATAGTTTGTTAAAATTATATTTCTTTAAATGAAATTCAAGAATAGCTTGCAATCAATAATGTCATTTCATAAATGATCACATCTTATCTCTCAGGGGGTAAGCTGCTGGGCAGACTAAAGGCCTAGACTGATAATTACTATTATAAATTATTACTGATCAGAATGTAATACATTACTCTTCATAGAGCAACTATTCAATGAAGTCTTCTACTTCTACCTAAAACATACCTTGCTCAGAAAATGATTCAAGAAATGTTAACTGATGCCCTTCTCATCCATGATGATACGAGTTCCTTTTTGAAATTGCTTTTTTTTGTATGTCTCTTACTATTCATGAGTGAATATATATCTGTATTTATTTCTTTATTTTTGATATCTCAAATGACAGTTTCAAGGCTCACCTTCATGGTATAATTTAGAGTAGGAAAGGGATTCAATGTGCACATACTCAACCAATGAAAGAGTATTTAATCAGTGCTTCCCAAAGGCTCAGTTTTAGTGCTGGTTGATTTTAAAAACTGACTTGAAAGGCATTTAAGAATTCATCTATACGCTCCTTGAAATATGATCACTCTTCTGTGTAATATTCCTAGTTTCAGAGACTTCCTCAAGAGACTGATTTGACTTTAATATTGCTTACAAAGATGGTACCACCATTTACTGGCCACGATGCTAAATACCTTGTGCGCATTCTGCCACTTAATGCCTTCCATGTGGTCATGCTGTTACTATCCAGAATTTATAGTGAAGAAAATGGAGGCCTACAAAGATGATGTTACCTGTCCAAGGTCACACAGCCATGATGTACATTGAAGAGCCAGGATGAAACTCAGATTGTCTGATCCCACCTACCATCAGCAGTCAGAACTCTGATCGTTGCTTCCACCCACCATCTTGAATAATCTTCTTTATCCAAGATCTTTAAGTTGTATTTACTTGCATTTGGCCCAGACTCTTTCCTTGCAGGGTTGGGCAGCCCAGTCTTCGTTTCCCACCTTAAATGGAAGGAGTCTCTTGTGGCCCTACATATCCTCATCATATTTTGGCTACCATTAGTTTCTCATTCATGTATTTTGATATGTGATAAACGAATAGATCTCCCGCATAAAATCACTCACTCTCTTTCCAGAATTCTTGCCACTTAGAAAGGCAAAAGGCAAAAAAGGCAATGATTTGCCTATTCCTGAGAAAACTGTTGCTATCCAAAATTAACAAGCCCTTTCAAGATGGCTGTCTGATACTCGCTAAAATAGTATAAAATGTCATTTACCGTCTATAATTCAGAACCATAACGTCACATATACATATTTTTTAACGTTTCTATAATTGTGGCTAGCACACATAAATTTCAAGCTAAAGAAGTATGAGAGATATCACATAGATCCATATCAATCCTTTGTATAGAGAAAACTTCTTTTTAAATATGCTGAAACCTGTAAAGAGGATCTCCTTATCAGCAAAGATTACATCAATAAAGCTTTCAAAGAAATCCTCTCTTTGGGCAAGAGTTCAGTTTTGATCTTCAGCTGTGTTCTGTTAACTTGCCTGTCGAGATCAATTAAAGTGGTTACCGCTTTTTTATTTCAAAAACGAAGTGGTTCTTGATCCTGGTTGTGGCTTTACATTTCATTGGGTAGATTTAAAAAGTAAACTACCCTTGCCTGGACCCCATGAGCATATGTAGTTCATCTGGAGTGCAGTGTGGACACTACTCCTCCTAAGTGATTCTCAGGTGCAGTTAGAGGTGAGAAGCATGGGAAGAAGTCAGCAAGGTAGGAAAGGCCATTTTCTCCGCAGCAGCACTAAGTCCCACAGCGATCTGTTCCCTTCTCATTACTTTATAAACCTTAAAACTACCTGCAAAATTCTTCGGTCACGGAATTCTTCTAATACCTTGCCGTGACACTTGAAAATATGTAACTTTAAGCTTAAGAAATTGAAAGAAGTGCAGCATGGGCAGATTAGCTCTGATCAGAAAACCAAATTATCTGGGTTCTGGGGAACCCATCGATTAACCATTGGAGAAAGATTAATCCATTGATTAACCTTGGAGAAAGTATATAGCCTCTCTGGTCTTCAGATTTGTTCCCGAGTCTCATGCCTGCTGTCATCTTTAAGGTTCTTGAAATCGTCAGTGGTCTGTCTGAGACCACTCGATGTCCCACAATTTTTAATCATCGGAGAGATTTTTATTTCGTTTAAAGTTCCCAAGGAGATTTTTATTTTTTTCTTAGTTTTTTCTTCTAATTTTTATTTAATTTCTAGTTAGTTCACATATAGTATAACATTGGTTTCAGGAGTAGAATTCAGTGATTCATCACTTACATATAACAGCCAATGCTCATCGTAACAAGTGCCCTCCTTAATGCCGGTCCACCATTTTGCCCGTCCCCCACCCCCCTCCCTCCATCAAGTCTCAGTTTGTTGTCTGTCATAAAGAGTCTCTTAGGGTTTGTTTCCCTCTCTGTCTTTTTCCCCCCCAGGGGATTTTTAAAAAGTAGCCCAATGCTATCATTTCCTTGAAACTTAATGCCCTTTCCTGTGGATCAAAATCCTTTTTCATACCTCTGGGGAAGTAAACCTCTCCAATCACTTTCATACAAACTCCGCCCTCAATGTTCAGGGAACTTGTTCCCCATCAAAGCCCCTAAACGACTTGCTCTTCCTGCTCATTGGAGCCCGAGTGACCTGGCCCAGGAGCTATCCCGTCTGGCACCGTCATATACACAGGAGCCTCAAATCTGTGCTCTGTGTTCTTAGGATACATTTCAACTTCTTTATCAGTCTTGGTCACCATGAATTTCCTTCAGGTCATGACCTCCCCAAGATTGTCTACATGTATAGTCATCACTGAGTGCTTAAGAAGTCATAGTCAAAAGGCCAAGTAGTTTGAGTATTTGTCATTTTTTTTCACGGATCTTTACATACTATTTAAAAAATAGCAATAAGTCACTCTTTATTACTGATATTGCACTTCTTAAATTTGCGTACTAAAGACTAACAGGAACAGACATTTCTCATGAGGAATGAATACTTGAAATGTACTTGGCAGTAAGCATATGAGAAAACAGTCAATGACATCATAGATGCATTGCATCTGGTCACAAATACCAGTGACATAACTTACAATAACCTTTTGCTTATTGAAAATTGCCCAGACTCCTGCTGTACTGTTCCTTTGGAAAAGCTGCTTGGTGTGTAGTGTTTAATTCAGTATTTTAAAGCCATCCTTTCGTAGGCCCGTTCCACTTTAGCCAAAGTTACAACGCCTTGTGTGTGTTAGTTTAAAAAAAAAAAAAGCAAAGTTTATCGCCTGCCTCTCTCTCTCAGTATCAGAATATTAGTATTTTTAGGTGAATAAAATAGCCTGTTTTAGAGATCTGTAGAGGGTAAGCTTGAATGTGTTGTTAATTTCATGTGCCGTCAGGGGGAATAGATATGAAAAGGAATAATTTGATGAAAACATCCATGCTTTAGTATTATAATTATTTTAACAATGATGAAGTTTTATTATGGGAATAGAACCCTGTTTTCCCCTTCTCTGCCACTTTTTTTGGTATTATGGAATATTCACAATTTGAGAGAAATCACTCCATCACTAGAGTCATCTTATCTACAACCCCTAAGCGAATTGCTTTTCCCACTATCTAATTTATCCAAAGAGCATCTCCCTGGTCAGTATTACAAGCCATTTTTATTATTTTCCTACACTTGTTTATTAAGCATTTTGCACGTCATGTTTTGTCAACAGGAAAGGAAAAGTCACATCCAATTTTTTCTTTCTTTTTTTCCTCTCCTGCTCTATTACAAGATTGAAAGCCTAAAGAACGAGAGTTCAAATCTTGCTTGAAATATAGACACATTATTCTCAACCAGAGAAATTCTGGATTTACGTTTCATTTTCTTGTGGAAAAATTACTTTAATTCAATTTTGGAAAAACGCACACATTTTACATGTGTGACCCGTAAATTTGTCCCTTGATTTCATTTAGGTGTTTGGCAACAGTTCACAGATTTTGCCAACAACTCTCAAAGAACTGCTTTAATGGTCTAATTGTTACAATTTGGTAATTAGCCAAAGTCGCATTTCGAAGTGTGACCGATAAGATTTGGCAGTTAGCCAGTATTTCAGAAAATGGACTAGAGTCATAGAGATGCTACTATTGTTCTCGTCTTCACGTTTATACTTTTACTTTGGACTCCTGAGACGTACGGCTTTGGTGACTCTGCCACAACCTACTATTCCCAACACATCCCTGACAGCTGCAAGCATCTTTGGGGAAGTGTCCCCTCAAGTTCCTGTTTCCAGTCATTAATGCAAAAGAAAGAAAAATGCTAGAGGCACTGAGAACCATCCAACACTTCAGCTGGCTTCAGCAATTGCCACTTGCGCAAGACCCGTGTTTGTGAAAGCAACCCAAGAATCTTTGAACAGGATGTAATCAACCTCCGATCTGCTGAGAAACACTGCAAAAATGACTTCCCCTGCCAAAAATAATAATGTCGTTTATGAGCAGCCCTTCCATGTCTAAGGAAGAAGTAGCCCCACGTGTGAGTTTCTGCTGGCTTCAGAGGAGCAGGCGAAGAAAAGGGCAAATCCTACCAACCCCAGCCTAAAATACACGGCATCAGAACGCACGGCAAGCTGTGGCTCATTCCAAAGGTGCTGGCAATATCCGGGAAGACTCCTATCCGCAAAAATCCAAAGGGTAAGTGACCCCGGACAAAGGGATTAGATTTGGCAGGAATTCCGTGCTGTCGCTTTCCCTCTGTAACCAAGCTGCCTTGTCTTGTGAAGGCAGAGCTGTTAAATACCTCTCAGTCACCAGCCCCAACCCAAATCTTTCTTTCTTTCTTTCTTTCTTCCTGTCTTTTTTTTTTTTTTTTCCAAAATATCATTTGGCAGCTTCCCTTAAAGGACATCAAGAGCTCAGGAAGGAATATTCATGAATGCTCCTTTAGATAAGTTTCATCACAAAAGCCCTGCACCTACCTCCGTCAAGTCTGGGCTGCTCGGTCCGCATGGGCTGGCTGTGAGAAAAGACCCCGTATGATGGCTGCTCCGAATTTACCAGAAAGAGAGGACCTGAGATGCTTGTCCTTTAAGTGTCTCTAAACATGGTTTGCATAGCTGGATCTCTGCTTATCTGTGCCTTTCGGCTTTCGCTTCCATACATGGATCTGTTCCCAACAGTAACTCCAAGCTGTGGAAAAGAAGCTATCTGGCAGCTCTCCGCTTCATCCAACACATGGACGATAAAAATACACATATAGAGATCCTTCCAGCCAGGCCTGTTTCCCACCCCGCCGTCCTGCCACTGTGCCTTTTTGGAAATACGCTTTCAGATTGGCATTTCTACTCCCCGGACGTTTAGGGAACAATCACTTTTCCCCTGATTCCCACGTAGAGCTTTTAGGATGTGGGTTTGCTTAGCTTATGAAAACAGAGGCACAATTATAACTCCTTACCACGGTCTGGTCTTCATCCTTAAAGATTTCAGCGATAAGATATGTACAGGACCTGCAAAATGTTGAGTGAATGGTGAATGTAAAAATGAATGTCTGGACAAATGGATGTGAATTTGTACACGAATGAATACATACATACTTAATGTATTTATTTAGTTAAGACGAGCTGTGAACACTCTGAATTATTTGTCTTAAAGGATAAGGTAGCAACGGAAGGTCAGAGTGATCAAAGTCTTCAAGACAGAAGGAGAGGCCAGGTTGTTCCGGACACAGCTTCTCATTTAGGATTTTGTGGCAATTCCTACTAATCTACCATCTAGCATACAGTTCGAGATTCAGAAAACTTTTTTATAATGTTAAAGAATGTAAATGCGAATAGAAGACTAGTTGCTACATTTATTAAGTGTCAGCGATACTTTAAAAGACGCATAACCTGGACCGGAATTTGAAGGGTAGGGAAGGAGAAATCTGGCTGCGGCTAATAAAGCTCTAGGTGAGAGGTCCTCCCCCAGGGGGCTGTGGAAACTCCACTTAACCTTCCAGTTCCTGAAAATTTGGCTTCTCTGTTTCAAAATTTCTCTCTTTTTTTCAGTCTGTTGTGACGCGGACGTGTGTGTGTGTGTGTGTGTGTGCGCGCGCGCGCGCGTGCGCGCACGTATGTGAGAGAATCCCCGAATAACATTTTTCCATTAGCCTTTTTGTTCCCAGTCCTGGTAAAATTCCTATAGACTCTCTTATCTGAAGAAGAAAAAATAAATTCGAGGTATGCAGAGATAATTCATTTTTGTGTACTGAAATGGAACAAGTTTGCTTAAAGCCTTCCAGAGGAAAAGGAGAAGGATGGATGACACAAGATTGGCAAAAGGATCATTGTTGCGGGTGGTTGACTGGTCGCTGGGGGACTCATTATATTATCCTCTCTCCTTTGCGTACATTTTAAAATTTGTGTAAAAGAGGAAAGGGTACAAAGTAGCTGTACTAATGGCAAGTTGGAGGAATTCTGGATTTGAGTAATCTCTGTGCAAAGCACTAAGGCCAGAGCAGGGAGGGGCAATTTTTTTTTTTTCATTCAAAATATTATGACATTCAAACCTTCCCCTCCCTCCCTTCAATCAGACATATGTGTGTGTTTGTGTGTGTGTAGAGTCTATATCGTAATACGTTTTATGTTATTATTATCTATATATCTTCAATCTGACATAAATGTATAGATAGATTCCACTTATTAGTGCATTTTATGTTGTATAGTATCTACACATTATACGTATGCATAATAATGTGTTATCTGTATACAAATATATATTCTATATAAAAATAATGTATCCGAGGGAAATGAAGATATGATATTTAGTTAGTTAATTGGTTACTTTTTAAGACACGGTGTTTAAAAAGCTGACCGTATGTAGCTCAGTGGCGGACCCAGCAGATGGCGGCTGTGCCGAGGGACCATTCAGTGCCCTCTCTTCCCTTGCCTTTTTCTACTTTAGAATTCCTAAAGGGAAACTTTGTTTTTTCACCGCCCCTTGCAGCCAGGGACAACCGTGTAACACACGTTCTGGTCAAATAGGCATAAATAGGATTCTCCTGGGTGAGACTTCAGGAAAGTGTGTCTTTATCTGTAAAAAGGGACAGGGTCAGCTTTGCCCCGCTTGTCCCTCTACCCCTCCCACCTATTTCCTTCCCACAGAATGAACCTGAAGACTGAAACTGCAGCCGCTGTGTGGTGACCCGGAGGGGACAAGGGAGAGGACAAAGGCCTATGAGGTAAGGGAGCTGGGCCAGACAGGCAGAAAGAACTTCAGGTATTGACAGCCTCACTGAGTTGCCCACCCCGGACTTCCTGTTCTTGGAGAAAAATAAAACCATAATTCATACAGAAAGTGGACTTTTAATTTTTTTTCAGATGCGGGTGTTTGGGTGGATGATGGTAACATTCAGACTCCAATTCTGATTTTTCCACTCCCCACTCCACACTTTTCAATCTTTCCCCAAAACGTTTAGGATAAAATATAAATTGCTTAACTTAGTTCTCAGGGATGTTTTAAAATTTCCTTGCAATTCACATACTTTTTTTTAAAAAGTTTTTATTTATTTATTTTGAGAGACACAGAGACAGTGGGAGGAGCAGAAAGAGAGAGAGAGAGAGAGAGAGAGAGAGGGAGAGAGAGAATCCCAAGCGGGCTCCACACTATCAGCACAGAGCCTGATGCAGGGATCAAACCCCTGAAGCCGTGAGATCATGACCTGAGCCAAAACCAAGAGTCAGAGGCTTAACCGACTGAGCCCCCCCAGGAGCCCCAATTACAATTCACATCTTAATTTCGTCTCTGGTCACTCACCCACCCAGGTCCTTTCATTGAAGCCACCTCCAGTGACCTGTACTGCATGCACAGCCTGACTATGTAGAAAGCCGTGGCTTTCCTCACATTTCTTATGCTATTTTCCTGCGCCTTTTCTTTCTGCGTAGAACATTCGTCATTGTCTTCTGTGTTTAGCTAACTCTCCTTGAACTTCAAGGCTCGGATCAGCTGCTCTTTCCTCCAGGAGGACGCTGGCCTTTCCAGTGCGGTTTAGGATCTGGAGCACACGTTGTACAACTCTGCCTTCCCACGCTATAACTCTAGGGTAACTGCTATTTCACCCGTTTGCTTTTTCAATTCAGCTTCAAGTTCCACAAAGTCAGGGAACAGGTTTCACCTGCACTTGTATTATTAGGACTTAGCCTACAATAGGCATTCAATACAATATTTAACTAAATAAATGATGGAATGGATAGATCAATAAATTATTCTTGATCAGAGAGAGAAAGAAAGATTTCATGGAATAAGTGCGTGGCTTGGAATTAGACTCCTCACTCTTGAAGCAGGTTTAGAACTGAGACAGGCACAGATTCAGGCACAGACCAAGGACCAAGTACAAAGGTCCCGAGTTCCTGAGTGAACAAATGGTAGATAAGAAGGCAGGAATTCCAGGTGGACAAAATTGAGTCAAAGCCAAGAGGCAATATGGTACAGAATCTGTTTGACTAACTGTGAGGAGTCCACCTGGGCTGAGGCTTGGGATGGAGGAAACCCAAAGGACCTTGAGTGACAGGCTTAGCATGTTGGTTTGGGGTATATTAAGTGGAGGAGTTACGACACAATCAGTTGCGATTTTTTTTATGAGACTTAATTTTCCTTCTTGATGAGTTTTGATGGTAATAGAATGCTATAGGAATCTTGAAAGCAAACGTTTACAAAGAAAAGCGGGTGGGTGGGTTCCTACTTGGCACTCTCTGCAAGAAAATTCTTCTTTTTTAAAGCTTATGTATTTATTTTGAAAGGGGGGAGGAGCACAAGCAGGGGAGGCGTAGAGAGAGGGAGACAGAGGATACGAAGCGGGCTTGGTGCTGACAGCAGAGAGCCCCATGCGGGCCTCGAACCCACAAACCATGAGATCATGACCTGAGCTGAAGTCAGATGCTTAACCAACCGAGCCACCCAGGCGCCCCAACTCTGCAAGAAAATTCTTAATGTCTTCTTTGCTCCTAAAGGGACATCTTACTTTCTAGGTTCACTATTAAATTTAATGTGTTAGAAGGGAAGAAGGAAGAGGAGGAGGGGTGTAGAAGTGTATAATCACACCTCAGAATGAAGTGTTGGGTCTTCAGCTAGTTTAAAAATTTGTCTGCATGCTTATACGATCACTTGTATTTTAAATTCTTCCCAGGGCTTTGAAAATGCAGAACCATTGTGCTTAACATCAGAGATTGCTTCTAGAAGATCTCTTAAGTAATTCTTTTCTTAAAAAGTTTTTAAAATATTTATTTATTTTTGAGAGAGAAAGAGACAGAGCAAAAGTGGGGGAGGAACAGAGACAGAGGGAGAGACAGAATCTGAAGCAGGCTCCAGGCTCTGAACTGTCAGGACAGAGCCCGATGCGGGGCTCAAACCTATAAACCGTGAGATCATGACCTGAGCCAAAGTCGGATGCTCAACCGACTGAGCCACCCAGGCGTGCCTATCTCTTAAGTAATTCTAATAGCTCTAATATAATAAGGATATTTAATTCATTTGATGTTTTCATTATTAAAATATTTGATTATATGTGGTGTATATCCTCATATGTCAGATTACGTGATCTGGTGCTTTCAAGTCATCAACAACGATTTAGCTCTAACCGAGCTGGTGGCACCCAGGGAGATGATCTTGGGTAAATTCATCTCTTTTTTGCTCTTCACAGGGTTTGATTTTGTTCTTCTATGCCATTTGCAAATGATGAGCCCTCTTCCTCTGCTTTGGAACTCATGTCCCATGATCTGCAAGAAACATTTTTTTAACGTTCATTTATTTTTAGTTTTGAGAGAGAGACAGAATGTGAGCGGGATGTCAGAATGTCAGAGAGAGAGAGAGAGAGAGAGAGAGAATCCGAAGCAGGCTCCAGGCTCTGAGCTGTCAGCACAGAGCCCGATGCGGGGCTCGAACCTACAAACTGTGAGATCATGACCTGAACTGAAGTTGAATGATTAACCAACTGAGCCACCCAGTCCCTCCTGCAAGGATCATTTTTAAAAAACTATTTGTAAACAGATTTTGGAGGGTTGTTTGGGGGGAGGTGCTTCCAATGATTAACACCTGAACAACAGAATAGAAAGCCCAAACTGGTCTCGTATTCCTTCTGGGCTTTAAGGTCTCAAACCCTTCATAGGTGTCCAATGATACTCTTTTGACTTTATGTGAATGTAAGGACCTCCCTGTAGAAGAAAGCAAGAGAAATGGTATAGTCATAGTTACTTGTGAGTTTAGTCCTATCTTAAAAACATTTTAAAAACAAAGCAAAGAATACAAATTCAACAGTATTCAATTATTTTTGCTCTCTATTGAAACTGTAGATTCTCAGGGGCGCCTGGGTGGCTCAGTCGGTTAAGCGTCCGACTTTGGCTCAGGTCATGATCTCACAGTTCGTGAGTTCAAGCCCCGTGTCGGGCTCTGTGCTGACAGCTCAGAGCCTGGAGCCTGCTTCACATTCTGTGTCTCCCTCTCTCTGCCCCTTCCCTGCTCATGCTGTGTCTCCCTCTGTCTCAAACATAAATAAACATTAAAAAAAAAATAAAAAATAAACAGAAACTGTAGATTCTCCTTTGTAAGTGGATTAGAACATTCCTGACTTCAGGAACTGAGCCCATTATATACTGTATAATCTATTTATAGTACCTAATACAGTGTTCTGTACTAAATAAATTCCTAGAGTAATATTTCTAAATAAATAAATTTTAAAAAATATTAAGGACATTAATCTACTCAGATTTTGCTGTTATTAGGATTTTTTGTCACCAGACACTGACTATATAAAAAAAAAAAAATCAGTGTTTAAAAGGATTTACTAATTGTAATAGTGTATCATTTAAAGTGTATTCTATCTTCCTGTGTAGACAGCCTAGTTAAGCTTGATCATGTCCCTGGGCTTATCACTAGAGAACAGGCAGAGACATTAATGCTAATGTAAAATATAATGAAGAAGTTTTTTTGTTTTGTTTTGGTTTTGCATATATTTCATTGAGGTATAGGGAGAGCTTGAAGAGATTGAAGGGAAGAAATTGCTTACAAGTTATTTTCACTGCAATTGTTGGACACCGGAGTAGAGAGAAAATGTTGGAATGCCATAGCATTCTCTCTCAACACCGCAGCTGGACCCTAGTGATTTTTGCAGGAGAAGGTGATTTAAAGGCACTGATGAACGAGGAGGCATCCCATCAGGCTTAGTTGGAACGAGACTGATTTGGAAGAACTGAGGGGTAAAACAGAGAACTATGAGGCTGTGAAGGCAGGGAAGCATTTCTCCAAACACACTTGGCCATTGGTTCAAAGACAAGTTGAAAGACTTTGCAAAAGTGCATGTTACTAAGCATTTCTTACAAAGTAACCATGCCCAGGGGCTCACACAGCAGTCTACGCCCATAAAATATTGTATATGTCATCTACGCTATGCATTAACGTAGGAAAAAGGCATGATGAGTGTTTAGAAAAATGCACAGACATTACACGAAGATATATATTTCTCCAAAATGGAGCTTATTTTATTTGAGATACTTTCGGACTACCTACAAGCTACTTTAATGAGATTGCTTTCTGAAGGCAACAAGTTCAGTAAATCATTCTGCTTTTCTCCAGTCTTTTCATCCTGCATGTGCAATTTTAACCATGATGGAAGGAGACTCTCTGGTCCAAAAAACTCAACATATTTCTTATCCACAGACACAGGTAAGTGGAAACAACCGTTCTTCCGTGTCGGCATTAGTCATTGTGATCTGTTTTTAACTTGTTGCAGAGTCAAATAACACTGGTGCGTGTCATAAAATGTCTCCAAATATTCCTGGGCTTGTTCATTTGCTTCAAGCACATAAAGAGGCAAATGTTAAAGCAATGTGTTCTGATCAAGAAACAGCTGGAAATGGCAGCTGCCTGATACGGAGCAATCAAGAATGGAAGGTTTATTTTGGACGAGAGGTGTTGTCCAACTGTGAGACTGAGTGATTGCAGCTGAGAATAAGTGCAAACACAATCAATAGTGGCTCCAGGTCTGAACTCATTGAGAACCTGTCTCGTGTCACATCTTTTTCTGCTGCCACAGTCACACTACATCCGTAGACACCGATACTATCCGTGGAGGAGGTAAAAAGTTCTTCAGTTTATTCTTATTCTTAAGGACAGCTTCTGAGCCATCATGATTTGAAATTACAATGACCAAAAGGCTCCTTCAGAAAAAAAGAAACAATATATTCCAAAGTCTAATTGTACAATGGGCAGGTAAGAATGCCTCAACTTTAAATGGTCTTGGGTGGGCATTGCCTCAAGAGCCAGCCAAGTTGTTCTCTGCTTTCTGGAGTTGTATGACTATGGGCGAAGTGATTTCATTCTTCCCGGTCCCTAACAGTGTTGTTATTTTATCGATACAGACCGTAGAAGCAGCTCAATAAATATTTTCTGTTGAACAATCTATAATCGCGACATTTGATATTGAATTTCAATACTACTTCAGCATAACCTGATTGAATTCAACTCCACTTCAACACAAATATATTGTTCAAAATATGTGTTTCGTTATGCCTCATTATTTATAGTCATACTTCATGTATCACACACAGATATATCACAGACACATAAAGACAGACACGTAACTATGTAAGAAATATTCCTCCAACGTATGCTTTGTGGAGGATATCTTAATAATAGCATTTTTTAAAATAAAAATCTTTCTCCTGTTTATATTATAAAAATGACCACTTGATGGTTCATAAATCTTTCCCTTCTTTCCTTCCTGCCTATATCTGTGTAAGGCCTTGATGGGCCAATCACCACATGGAATACAAACGCGGATAAAATTAAAGTTCCTGACCTCGGTGGGGATTAACATTCACTTGTTCCTTCACCCGATCTTTCCCAGCTAGCACTCTCATTAGACGCTTTCAGTTAAAAACACAAAAACAAGAACAAACAGGGGCGCCTGGGTGGTGCAGTCGGTTAAGCGTCCGACTTCAGCCAGGTCACGATCTCGCGGTCCGTGAGTTCGAGCCCCGCGTCAGGCTCTGGGCTGATGGCTCAGAGCCTGGAGCCTGTTTCCGATTCTGTGTCTCCCTCTCTCTCGGCCCCTCCCCCGTTCATGCTCTGTCTCTCTCTGTCCCAAAAAGAAATAAACGTTGAAAAAAACAAAACAAAACAAAAACCCAAAAAACCAAGAACAAACAAACAAAAAAAAAAACCACTTATTTTAAAACCCCGGGAGTCAACCTGGAGCCTGGGCAGCCTTTACCCTTGCTGTAGCTCTTCTCTGCTTTCTACACTCAGATGTGCAACACTCTTTTTCATCTGGTTGCTTTTATAATGCCAAGGGAAGAAACACATTATTTGGAGTACAATCTTTGGCTCCAGAGTATCGAAACGCTCCTCTTCGTGACAATGCCAAGTGACTTTATTTGTTCCATGAAGCCCTTGAAAACAGTAAAGCATTTGAAACATCGGAGGGGAAGCTGTCAAAGGAAAAATAGAATTATCTCCACCACCACCTACACTCTCTCGAACAAAATTATAATGTTGTCGTATGGAAGGAAGTCCGTTCCATAGAACACTACTTTTATTAACACGGGCGTGTAATCCTGGAGGGTTAAAGGTGTCAGGTCTGACCAGGAGATTAAATAGAGTATACCATTTGTTGGTATTCATGCAGCATTTTTCTTCTGAGGATCCCAAATCGATTAATCTTCCTTGTGGTTTGAAATCTTAGCCAGTGTGCTTTAATATATCTAGCAACCTCGGAGTAAGCAGGTCTCAGGGTAGATGAAGCTTTTAGGGATTTAATTTCTGGTTAAGCCTGGAAAACAAGAGGGTAATGACCTCTAAACCCCGGCAGCCCATGCACCCGGGCAGTGTCTTCACGGCCTGTTGCTGCATGGGTATGGGGACATTATTCAGAGCCCCAACCCCAACATTGCTCCTGCCCACATGATCCTCTGCCAAGTAACAAATTAAAAGGCCCAACTCAATCACTTCTTTGAAGGCCCAGTGTCCATACTCAGAAATGGCAGAGGGTTCATTCCAAAATGTTTGTTTTCTACTGAAAAGGCTACATCAAACTTTCTAGCATCATAGCAATAGTTTTTAACTTTTAATTTAAAAAAAATGTTCTATTTAGAGCATTTATATTTCACATCAGCATAGTTATTTTGGGGTTGAGATGCCATACTAAAGAACCATTAGGTCCTTATGATATTAGGATTTATGCAAGAAAGAGCACATTGTTACCATGGGGATCAGTAAATAGTCTTGATCTGAGACACTAGTTCCCACTGCCAAGACATGGGTGGGAGAAGGTGGTTCCCACAGACTCTGTTTTCTCTAGGCTAAAAATATCGTATGATTTCTATTACAGGGCAATTAAAAAAATTCTCAGTGATTTAACCTAAAAGAAGCGTACCCTATCATTTTCAGAACAATTCGGCAGTGAGCTCGCTATCTAATACTTAGGGACGGCATTTGTATGCAATATTAATTATGCTCATGCGCCGTCATAGCAAAGGTGGTGTTGCAACTGCAGCTTTTTTTAGTGATGTTTCACATTGGCCTTCAAAAAGAAATGGTGTATAGAGATACATACATCACAGACATAAATGACTTCTTTTTAAGGGTTACGATATAAATTTAGCACCTTGAAGTTAACTCTTCAAAATAGCTGTTTTGGGAGCACCTGGGTGGCTCAGTTGGTCAAGTGTCTGACTATTGATTTAGGCTCAGGTCATGATATCATGGTCAAGAGGTCGAGCCCCGCACAGGGCTCCACACTCAGTGCGGAGATTAAGATTCTCTCTCTTCCTCTGCCTCTCTGCCTCTCCCCTGCTCACACTCTCTCTGTCTCAAAACAAACAAACAGAAAGTTGTTTTGGCTTGTGAAATGTTGCTTCAAAAGGTTGTGATGTACGTGAATTCTCTGACTGTTGCTTTTACGGCCTCTAGTCAAGAAATCCAAAACATTACAATTCTTTTCCTGAAGCTTACTACTAAGTAATACGTCAAAGTATCTACAGTTAACCCTTGCATTCACAAGGTGCTGTAGAATCTGCAAAGTGATTTTACCGCCAATCATTGTGCCCCATGTACTTCACAATCCTATGAGATAAGCAGGGTTGGTAATAAGGTAATAGTCTCCTTTTGTATGATGAGAATGAAACGTAAAAAGGTCAGAATGATTGCCTAAACCTACAAGGTTAATAAGCGTAAGACTGAGCGCGAGGTCTCACAATGAAAGAGACTTACTTCTTCTTACTGTGGTGTTAGGAAAATGACACGCTTCATTTTATACAATTGGTCCTATAAACTCTATCATCATATCATCAAGACTTCTGGAATCAATTCGGTGACAATGAACACTAAAGTGTGATGTGAATTATTGTCTGAAAATGTTGTTGAACTAAACAGCCGTTAAGTCAAATTATCCATTGGGTGGGGCAGGATATCATTCATGGCCCTGTAAGGGCATTTATTTTAAGAAAATTTGACACACATTGAAAGGAACTAAATTTTAGTTCATTATAAATTTTGCCAAAATTAAGTTTTATTTTACCACTTAAAAGGTAGGTTTCTTCTCCTCTTCGTCCTCCACCTCCTTCTCCTCACTGCCCTCCCCTCCCCGACCTAGTGTGACTTGTGAGCCCTTGGTAAGTTTATCATCGCACAACTCAACCTGTTTCTTTTTTTTTTTCCTCTTTGTTTTTTGTTCTTTCATTACTTTGCTGGAATCAAGGTAGCACCGCCAGGTTTAAAACATTATTATTATTCCTCATGCTGTCTTCTTCTAAGGTATGTTCTTTATATAGAATATTTGTTGGGCTCTTTCCAGGTTTAAATGAGTATAATTCATCAAGGGATCAACACTAACTGAAGAACTAAAGTCTATGCATTTTGAATGACTGCTTCTCAGAAGTTCCAAAGCACGTTTTCTTCTTAAACATCGCTCCTTTTCCTGCCGGCTCGTTACTCCCTGAACATCATTTTTAACAGCACTGGCTTTGATAAGAATTTTGCTTTTTCCAACTGCCCCCTTTGGAGACTTCTGTTGGTTCCTACTACCCACGTCCCTAGAGTCCAATGTTTCTAGTCTTCTAGGCTTTGTTCTCACCTTACCTTTCATTCCCATGAGTCACCCCCGTGACCTTCCACAAGTTTTATTTTTTCCTTAGATTGTAGAGTTGGGTTCTTATGTTTGCTACCAGAGACTCCCACTTGCTATACAAGAAGAAAACGAAAGTGTTATAATTAATGCTGTTTCCTCATGCAAATAATACTATGAAATAACCAAATATTTTTGTTACCGAGCATTATTTATTACAGCAGCATTATAGTTTCCTGAAATCACTAACATTCATTTATGGAGATATTTTTACATTTTGCTTGAATCTCACATTATTTTTCACCGACTGTGCTTATCCCGTTCTGAGGGAGGGGGCCCAAATAAAATATATCCACTTTCAAAAGCTCCCTACGATCTTTATACATGGAGCAGTGGTTCCCAAACCACATCAAAATCTGCTGGGCTTGAGACTCACTCTTTTGGATAGTATACCACTTACCAGGCTCATTTAGGAGACATAGAAACAGAAGTTCTGGTTGCCCAGGTAATTTCTCTAGGTCAAGGACAAAAGTCATTTAGCGTTTTCTCCAGTCTAGGAATCTGTTTGCTCTGCTAATTGACCTAGCCGAATCAGATCAATAATGCCCCTTATCCACAGTGAAGAAGGTAAGAAATCCATTCCAAAGTGGTGGATGCTTTGCTTTTCTCTCCTTCATGCTGCCTGCTAATGTGAATCTGGGCATAACAGACACTACTTGGCAAAAGGTAAGTGCACCGAAGTAAAAACCATATTCTTAATGAGTTCATTTATTCCTGACAGAGGCTTAGGTTTTTACCCATCCAAGATCATCATGAAGTCACTGTGAAAAAGTGCCTTCCTATATTTTGAAATCTTGAGGAGTGGAGACTGGAGGGAACGGGGTGAGAACATTGCCCGCCAGGGTCCCTCTGAGTTCAGGTGTCGGGCATCTGTGGATTTACAACAAACGCAGTCCCCTGGAAGCTTACATTCAGATTGGGGCCAAAAAATAAGCACAAGAATAACCAAATCCATTCTTTACCAATTATATATATTTTTTTCCTTCTCCTTAATATGTTAAAGAAGGGATGATGGGAATTTTTGGAAAATAATTGGGATAGAAACTCGTTTTCTCTAATCCAGTCTACTGCTTGTCCTGTGTTCCCACATCCATAACCATTTGCCCAATCACTCAGGTTTGGGACCAGCCTTCCAACTGGTCTCCATGCCTCCTGCCTGGACTTCCTCCTGTCTTCTTCTCACATTGCATCCAATATGATCTTTACTAGGCTTGTATCTGATTTTATCACTCTGCTGATTTAAATCTTTTAGTGGCTTCCCAGAGCTTTGTGGTTTCTCTCAAAATCCCCAGCTTGCTATCCAAGCTCCTTCACGTGACATGGCACCTGCCTGCTTCTTTCGTCTCATCTTCCATTTCAAGCCCACAAGCATCTTCTGCTTTGGTCCTATCAAACTCTTTGCCTCTGTCCTCAAGAATTTCCCAGATATCATTCTCTTCACTGAAAACATTTTTATTTTTTTTTAAGTTTTATTTATTTATTTTGAGAGAGAGAGAGAGAGAGAGAGAGAGAGAGAGAGCATGAGTAGGGGAGGGGCAGAGAGAGGGAGGGAGAGGGAGAATCCCAAGCAGGTACTGCACTGTCAGTGCAGAGCCTGATGTGGGGCTTAAACTCACAACCCATGAGATCGTGACCTGAGCAGAAACCAGGAGTCAGACGCTTAACTGACTGAGCCACCTAGGCACCCCTTTACTTAAAACCTTTTTAATCTCTTCCACCCATTTAATTCCCATTCTTCAAGACTGAGCTCTTGAAAAATACTCCTTCTGACTTCTTAATATTCCCGCCCCCCCCCCCCCCCCCGCCTGCCTTGTCTCCAAATCACCCTTAGCAGCTATTTTAGTACTTGTCATATAAGATTACACGTTCTGGTTTATGGTTCTGTGCTGTCCCCTGGATGTAAAACTCTATGAGGAAAGGGCCACCTGGGTGGCTCAGGTAAGGGCTTGACTCTTGATCTCAGCTCAGGTCTTGATCTCAGTGAGTTCAAGCCCCACGTTGGGCTCCGCAATTGAATGTACTTAAAAAAAATAAAACAGCTCTATGAGGGAAAAGGGCGTGCCACTATGTCTTTATATGGCCAGCACCTAGAGGCATGCAAGTTATGTAGCAAACAATCAGATCTGTTTTTGGAATTAAAGAAGAAAGTGAATGAGTTAATAAAGCAAGGAGATAGATGGATGATGTAAACTCAAGTTTGCCAGGAAGGCAGACTTGCAAAGCACACGTTGCCACAAACAGTTTCTCATGGCTGAGTATCTCCTTTTGCAATCTCGTCTCCACTCTTTCCCTTCTGCGGAAACCATGCTTTTCAGGCCCAGCCCACCAGGACTCTCCCCAGGACTCTAGGTGAGGCTCATTTCCCTCTCTAATAAACATCTACTGGCTATCCCGTACTCTTGCTCAGTCAAGTTATCTCATTTCCCTGAACCAATTAACTCAAAATTTCCATCTCTTCTGACATGTTTTTCTCAATTAATTAGAAAAGAGAGTAAATTCCCATTAGTACTCTTGTATCTGAACGTGGAGATCATCATCCACTTCTTCAGCCCCAAATACAGCTCCATTGTTTCATTAGGCTCACAGCACACTAAGGGGTGAATGAGAACCATAGAGCCTGAGACCTGAGCGTGAGCTCCAGGCTTCCCACTTTCTGTCTGTGTCATGTAGGGTCTGTTACCTCCTCTTTGCGTCGCAGGCTCTTTTCCAGAAGGTTGTGGATTACAGCGTCCTCCACGTACAGATTTGATAGTATGATGTGATGAGATCGGTTAGCCTCTAATCCCTGACACATAGGTTCTCTGGAGATCAATAGTCGTTATGTGTGTTAATACGAAAGCTCTTTCTCTTGATATTGGATAGTTTGAATTTCATTTTGTTTTACACTTCTAGGTCATGAACTTTTCAATATTGCAAATCTTAGTAAAATAGGCACTTTATCATTCCCGTCATCACAAGAAAAAGAAGGGTGAGTAGAGCAGAGTAAGGTATTTTGACCAAGACCCCATGCACATAACCTTTATTACAGTACCTTGTTATAATTGTTCTATTTATTATTGGCTGTTAAGAGTTGTTCATCTCTTACTGTGCCTACTTTATAAATTAAACTTCCTCATAGGTATGTATTGTAGGAAAAAACATATTATATGTAGGGTTAGTACAACTGCACTTTCAAGCATCCACTGGAGATCTTGGAAAGTCTCCCCACAAATAGGATATACCACTGTATGACCTTCTTTTAGCTCCTTGAAAATGTTCTCCTCTCACCACTGGACCTTTGCACATTCTGTTCCCTATGTTTAAAGGCCCCTCTGCACCTCTTGCCATTTATCTTTTGATTTCTATAAAAACTTCAAGCATTAGCTGAAAAATACCTTGCTTGAGGGAGCTACCTCTGAAAAGCCGCAGACTAGGTGAGGCCCCCATCATATATGCTTTTGTAACAACCTCCTACTCTTTCGAGCATCTATTAAAATTCTAATGAAGTTAAGTATGTTCACTTGCCTATTTTTCACCTTTTGAGAACTGGTATGATTTCTATTTCTTCACCACCTTATCCACAGTATAAGCTCCAGCGTTGTGCTTATGCTAAGAGCTCAATAAATAATTTTTGAATGAGTATGTGAATGATGGTAAATGACCTGGACTCCAGGAAGGCACTGTGCACCTAAGGGGGAGTGATGATAAATCAAGCTGGAGAAGACTACAAGAGTCAAATATTTTTTAAAAAATTTTTTTAATGATTTTATTTATTTTTGAGACAGGGAGAGAGAGAGCATGAGCAGGGGAGGGGCAGAGAGAGAGGGAGACACAGAAACCAAAGCAGGCTCCAGGCTCTGAGCTGTCAGCACAGAGCCCTACACAGGGCTCGAACTCATGCACTGCGAGATCATGACCTGAGCTGAAGTCAGATGCTGAACTGACTGGGCCATCCAGGCACCCCTACAAGAGTCAAATCTTGAAGGGCGTTGAGTGCATAACAAATCTGGACTTACTCTCAAGTGTGATTAGCAGCCATTAATTTTTTTTTTTAAGTTTGGACTTTTTCAGGTTTGTTGACTGGCTGAAGAGTGGATTGGTACAGAAAGACGCTGGAGTCGGGCAAAACAATTAAGAAGCGAGTGCAATTATCTGGGAGAGGAAAATTAAGAGCATACCCTAACGTAGTGTTTCTCACATTTGTTGCATACCATAATCGTGTGGATGGTTAGTAAAGCCCACGAGGCCCAGGCCCCTTGATGTAGGAGGGCACATGGGCCTCTGTATTTGTACCAATACAGTTTCCCCAGGGGATTCTGAAACCCATACATGTGAGAACCTCTGAAGTGAATTTAAGATAGTGAGATGTAGTCTTGATAAAGGTGAATGATTTTTTTCTTTTGAGGCGGGGGATGGGTACAAGTAAGGAGTCCATGCTAAATTCTAGGTTATTGGCCACAATAGCCAGTTCTGCCATTGGCTAGAATGGAAAGAGATCATTAGTTTTGCATCTTTGTTATTGGGATTAAAGTTAGGCTCATTCTCCTCATTTCATTGGTGTCTCTCCTCTACAAAATCTATCCCAGTTGGTCCGTGAAGAGCTGGGGTCGGAATCCCTCCTGCCGTGATGAAAGAGATTATAATAGAACTCACATTCCCCCTCTATGATAAGGTCTTACCAATTCACAAGTGAGAAGTTGTATGTATCTCAGAATTACATGCTTTTTCTCTACGTGTGTTGTGTCACTGTCCACTTGATTTCTCTATGAAGGAAAAAGCATGTGACGTTCACTACAGTGCTTCTTATTTTGGTAGTGTTAGGTATTTGCCCATTTGTTGCCACATCTTTTGCGATTCACAGAAGTTTACTCTGAGCACCCAAACTCTGGATAATATTAAATCTTGTGAAAGAACAACTGAGAAAGTGTTTACCCATCATCTGCATTAGGTACCACCCACACACTAGTATGGTGCTAGTATTTGCTGATCTTTAATAGTACTACTGAAATTGAAAAAAATGTGTTGCAGATTTAATATTAGTTTGGCGTCTTCCTAAGGCCTGGAACATGGTAGCGTTCCTTGGGATTTGTACTCTAGGGGGAAATAGAAGCGTAATTTAAGGGTAAATACAATTTACTGTGTAACGTAAGAGTAAATATCCAAGAGCAAGAATCAGGGAAGATCCAAAAGGTACAATGGTCTGGGTTGATATTCCTGTCTCTAGTCTCACCACACAATATAATTCACCTTAAATATGTTTTTAACTAAAATATTAAAAACGTCCCTTCATTTGTCATAGTTACAGACAACTGGAATCATAGAAAGGGCTTGAGTGCTAGTCTGGACACATAACCAACCATGGGACCTTGTGCTCATCACTTAAATGCTTTGTGTTTCAGTTTCCTCAACTTTGTTTTATTTTATTTTTTTAAGTTTATTTATTTGTTTTGAGAGAGCACACATGCACATGAGTGAGTGAGGGGCAGAGAGAGAGAGGGAGAGAGAGAGTCCCAAGCAGGCTCTACACAGTCAGCGCAGAGCTCCACACAGGGCTCAAACTCACCAGCCGTGAGGTCACGACCTGAGCTGAGATCAAGAGTTGGTCGCTCAACCTACTGAGCCACCCAGGAGCCCCAGCATCCTCAACTTTAAGATGATGGGAATGGCTAGTCTCTAAAAATCCCTTCTGGTTCTACGGTTCTGAGATTCTAGGTTCTATCAACTGAGCATCTGTAAAGTTTTTAATAGAAATGTGATTTCATCTGGGAACATCTGTTACAGTGTATAACATATTTTGCCAAGTCCTTGACCTTAATTTTATCACTGGCATCAGATGTTCCTTTACAGATTCTACTCTGCATCTTACTGAGGGAACACCAGTTAGGCTTATGTCTTGAGTAGTGTCAGTCTGACTCAAAAAATTGGCCAGATTTGTTAATATTATCATTAAATGACTTCTTAATTAAGATTGTCAATACTACCAGTGATACAGTTCAATGGTATTTTAGCATTAGAAATTACATAAACTACTCATTTACATTTTTATTTTTATACTTACTGCAAAATAAAAGTATTTTTGTTAAAGGCGTTATACTTTTTTCCAAATAAATGTGGATTCTAAAATAATTCTGTAACACACATATTAATTGAATAAATATACTGCTGTTTCATTTCTCCTAATAAAAGAAGATTCCCTTAATAATAATTATAACTACTTCTATTATTAATTTAGAAACCTGCTTCTTTCCACTGAGAATTTTATTTTTATGATTTTCTGGCTATAAGAAGAATTTAGTGTGGGCCATAGAAGTCCCTCAGTTTTTACTTAGTTGAAACCAAGGAGATAGAAATAGATTTTTTTTTTCAATTTTTGCCTTTACGATTTGTTCATTAAGAGAAAAAGTACAGGGGTGCCTGGGTGGCTAGTCGGTTAAGCATCCGACTTCAGCTCAGGTCATGATCTCACAGTCTGTGAGTTCGAGCCCCACATCGGGCTCTGTGCTGACAGCTCAGATCCTGCAGCCTGCTTCGGATTCTGTGTCTCCCTCTCTCTCTGCCCCTCCCCCACTCATGCTCTGTCTCTGTCTCAAAAATAAATTTAAAAATATTTTTTTAGAAGAAAAAGTGCAGTCTTCTATGGTTAATTATTAAATCCAGGCAAATCTTTGATTCCAAGGGGAAGAAATGATAATAAATAAAGAGCAAACAAATAATGCATTAGACTCAGTACACTTGGTGATTTGCCTCTCGGCGTCTCTATTTTCCAATCTGCAGATGACGGTGGGAAGGCATGAAATAGTAATCACCTTGTGAAATGTACTGAAAATTATTTGAGGTAACAATAGGACAGCTCGTGACCAATAGTTATCGTTGCCAGGAAGTAGCTACTATTTCATGATTAATTTAATATGCAGAATTAAGTGACATGTAAGAAGTTTCCCTGGGCTCGTGCTACTTTGTGATTGCATGCTGGAAACACGTTCGTTGTATTTTACCTCATCCTCTTTCCTTTAGAGTGAGGCATACAAATGTCAATAAGCATATTGGGCCTCCTAACACTGTCTTCCTTCCTTCTGTTCCTGGTACTGTATTGTTGGTCATAACTTGTCATGTATTTCTAGCATCTGGGGATGACGTGTTGATTTTCTCTCCCAATACAGTTTAGTATTTTTAAATGAGCTTCCTATTGTAGTCTCTTTTGGTTAGCCTTGCCTCTGTTTCTTCTGAGAAGCTTTTGATTACTCCATAAAGGAAACTTCAAGGTGTAATAGGATATATATCCTTACAAGAAATAAATACTTTCAATGTTTTGCAAAAGAAATTCTAGAAAGCATGGTGGAGACATGCATTACCTTTTCTGATTCTTTCAGCCTATTGTCTTCTTTGGTTCCTTTATCCCAGGCCAATCACTGTCCTCCACCTGTCTGCACCGGGTGACCTGCTCAGCCACTTGGAATCTTCTGTTCCCACAGAGCTGGGTCAGCAGTGCTGGTGCTTTCCGGGCACCTTGCAGAGAGGGGTGGAGACAAGTGACAGGAGGAAGGGGAACAAACATACCCATTTGCACTGTTCTTTTCAAAAGTGAAAAAATGTGCCTCCAAAGAGTAACTCTTCTGTGCTCACTGTGTCTTTTGATGGCTAACTGGGGCAGGAACTACCATCTCCAAAGACGTTGGGAATCATTAGGGTTAAATGATCTGCATAAGGTCATGCAGTCTGGAAGCATTCCAGATCAGTTTTAGTCTGTATCTTCCAAATGCAGCTCCAGGATTCTTTCCACTCATTGGTTCCAACATCTCTATTCTGGGAGTATTATCAGAAGTGCCTGAACTTGTCTTTGGGAAATCCCGTCATTCACTCAAGTGCTTCATGAGGCATTTTGATTATGAAAACAGAAGAAATCTTAAAGCTTTGCTATGATGACAACCAAGAATGTTAACAGTCTTTTAAAATAAGATGTAAGGATTTAGGAAGATATGTATATGCTCACTGTATCTTCTCAAAAGCAGAGTGATTCATATTGCCAGAAGCTTCATCCATAGCAGACCAGAGAAAGACAATAGCCGTAAACAGTTTGTTCTGTTTCTGGAATAGGTAAGTTTTCTTCTATGAATGTGGGAGAAAAGGATGGGGTTGTTATAGGCTCAATACTCACCAATTTGTATTCCATACAAATAGCATAGTACCAATTGCAGACAAGATACTAAAATGCCTTTTGAGAAATGCAATGAAAGGTTGACTTGAGGTCCTTGTAAGGTCGTGGCTAAAATGAAACAAAATAAGATACAACAGTTGTGACACAGTGCCTTGAACATGTGTTAGAAACAATTAAATAGTGGTTTTTTGTTTTTGTTTTTGTTTTTGCTGTCAGATGAATGAGATCAAAGCATTCAGAAAATTCCCCTTGATTTCAGGGAAATAAAAGCTTAATAGTTCACAACAATCAAAATTAATTATTTTAGCAATAAATATGCATGTAGCATACTTCGGAAATTGTCTTTCTGTAAAAGTGGTCCTAAGCTCCAGATCATATTATAATCATGTAGGAAGTTAAGAAGAAGAAGAAGAAGAAGAAGAAGAAGAAGAAGAAGAAGAAGAAGGAGGTGAAGGAGGAGGAGGAGGAGGAGGAGGAGGAGGAGGAGGAGGAGGAGAAAAAAGAAAAAGAAAAAACCAACGAACCAAAAAAAAAAACCACAAACCAAAAGAACCACAAAATATCAAGGCCTCCTTACTTCAGACCAATTAAATTTGAATCTCTAGGGGTGGAGTTTGGGGTTTTTTATTTTGTTTTGTTTTGTTTTGTTTTTTAGCTTACCAGACCATTCTAACATGTGGCCACAGTTGAGGAACATTGGTTTGTAACATGAATGGTCTTGAGTAACAATTACAGAACATGACTTACGTGTGTCTATTTCACTAATAATGGCCCGTGGTATGCCGTCCTTTCCTTCTTATGATGGCCCTATTCATAATTGTTCAGTTTTCTGAAGAGGACCTGAGGCAGACACATCAGCCTGCAGTGTCCCTAGTGACGTTAAATAAAGTGTATGAGAAGTAACAGGAAAGATGGTCCAGAGCCCAAGTCTTGCAGCTGGAAAGAGGAAACGATTAGAAACTTCTTACTGTTTGATTACAAGTTGCTGTGACTGTTTCTTGCTTTCTCCTTGTCTCCCTGGATCCCTTCCTTTCTCCTTTTTTCTCATTGCCTACCTTCTTACTCCTTTGCGCTTCTCAGTTTCTTGAGCATCTTCCTTTTATTCTTTTCTTTCACTCCCTTTTCTCAGATACAATATACTTGCTTTAGGATAAGAAGATTAAGTTGAAATGCAATCCCTGTTGTAATCCCAGCTAGCTGTATCAGCTCCGTTTGATTTTTGGTTCCATAACCATTTTGGAGTAGCTTAGATATTTGTCTGATTCCCAAGCCTCCTAGATTACCATAGTACAACTTAGCTTTTGTATTAATGTCATGTGTGAGGAACACTTACCAAACGTCAGTTGGTTAAATTTTAGTGGTTACCCAATTTGTTGGTGTACAACTGTTCAAAGTACTCTTGTTTGTTTGTTTGTTTGTTTGTTTGTTTACTTGTTTTAAAGAGAGACTGTGAGTGGAAGAGAGGGGCAGAAGGAGAGAGAGAGAATCCCAAGCAGGCTCCACACTCAGTGTGGAGTCTGACACAGGGCTCGATCCCAGGAACCTGGGATCATGACCTGAGTGGAAATCAAGGGTTGGACACTCAACTGACTGAGCCACTCAGCTGCCCCCAAAGTACCCTCTTAATATCTTTTTAACTTCTATAGAGTCAGTAGTAGTGTCCACATTTTAAATTCTCATTTTAGTAACTTGAGTCTTCTCTTTTTTCCTTCCTAGTCCACCGAGTTAAATGTTAATTTTGTTAGTCTTTGCAAAGAACCATGTTATGATTTCATTAATTTTTGCTATTATTTTTCTACTCTATTTCATTGGTCTCTGCTCTAACCTTTATTATTTCCTTCCTTCTGCTAATTTGAGGGTTAGTCTTTTCTTTTTCTAGTTCCTTAAGTTGTAAAATTAGGTTGTTGGTTTGAGATCTTTCTTTTTTTTTTTTTAATATAAACACTTATGACTGTGAATTTTCCCCTTAAGCACTGCTTTTACTGGTCTTATCAGTTTTTTTTAAATGTTTTATTTATTTATTTATTTATTTATTTATTTATTTATTTATTTTTGAGACAGAGAGAGACAGAGCATGAGCACGGGAGGGGCAGAAAGAGAGGGAGCACAGAATCCGAAGCAGGCTCCAGGCTCCGAGCTGTCAGCCCAGAGCCTGACACAGGGCTCGAACTCACAGACTGTGAGATCATGACCTGAGCTGAAGTCGGATGCTTAACTGACTGAGCTACCCATGCCCCCTGATCTTATCAGTTTTGATAAGGTTTTTTTTTTTTTCAATAATCTCTAAGTATTTCCTAATTTCACTTGCATTGTTTAATTTCCACAAAATTGTGAAATTTCCAGTTTTACTTCTGTTCTACCTTCTAAGGTGGTGGGAAAAGTTACTTTTGTAGAAGGATGATAGCTATCCTTCTACATCTCTTGAGAGTTAATCTGTGTCCTAACATGTGCTCTCTCTTGCAAAATGTCCTAGGTGCACTGAGAAGATTGTGTTGTGCTATTGTTGTTGTATGGAGGTTTCTGTATATGCCTGGCTAGTTGGTTCATTGTATTGTTTAAGTTCTCTATCTCTTCAGTTATCTTCTGTCTGGTTGTTCTATTTTCATTATTGAAAATGGAGTATTTAAGTCTATAACTATTATTGTAGAACTGTTTCTTTCTTGAATTTTATCAGTTTTCGCTTCATATATTTTGATGGTCCGTCATCAGGTGCACAAATGATTACAATTGCTGTATATTCTTGCTGTATTGAAGCTTAAAAATATATAGTACTCTTCTTTGTCTCTTGATCTTTTGTGATTTAAAGTCTGTCTGATGTTAATATACCATCCTTGCTCTGATTGATACTATTTGCATAAAATATCTTTGTCCTTCCTTTCACTTTCCTTCTATTTGTTTCTTTGGGTCTAAGGTGGGTATCCTGTAAACTGAATATACATGTGATGGATCATGTGATTTTATCCATTATTCTAATCTCTGTCTTCTGATTGGAGAGTTTAATTCATTTATATTTAAAGTAATTACTAATAAGGAAGGACTTCTGTTATTTTCCTATTTCTTTTCTCTATGCCTTATAGCTTTCTGTTTGTCCTGTATTTTCTGTATTACTGCTTTCTTTTGTATTTAGTTGATTTTTTATTTAAATTATTTTCTCATTTTCTTTTGTGTATATTCTCTCGTTATTTTCCTTGTGGTTATTTTGGGGAGTATATTTAACACTCTAAAGTTAGAACATACTGTTTTGAATTTATACCAGCTTACCTTCAATAACATAAAGAAACTTCTCCTTTATAGCTACATCCCTACCCATTTAGGTTGTTGATGTCACAAAATTACATCTGCCTACATTGTGTATCCAAAAATATAACCTAATAATTCTTTTGAATGCATTAGTCTCAAATTATATAGAAATCAAAACTTGGAGTTACAAACCAAAGTTATAATGACATGAGCTTTTAGACTAATAATTGGTTTTCTTTTAATATATTAGTCTCATAAATCATGTAGAAAACAAAAAGTGAAGTTACAACCTTCACAGTTGTTACAAGAATATAAGCTTTTATAATTGCCCTTTTATTTTTCTTTATTGAGATCTTTATTTTGTCATATAGCTTGGAGTTACTATCTGTTGTCTTGTCATTTCACACTGCAGGACTCCTTTGAACATTTCTTGCAGGGCAGGTCTAGTGGTAATGAACTCTTTGAGCTTTTGTTTATCTGGGAATATTTTAATGTCTCCCTCACTTTCTTTTTTTTTAAGTTTATTAATTTTTGAGAGAGAGAGGGAGGGAGAGAGGGAGAGAATATAAGCGGGGGAGGGGCAGAGAGAGAGGGAGATGGAGAATTCCAAGCAGGCTCCACACAGTCAGCATAGAGTCCCACATGGGCCTCAATTTCATGAACTGAACCATGAGATCATGAACTGAGCCAAAATCAAGAGTCAAACGCTTAACCCACTGAGCCACCCAGGCACCCCAATGTCTCCCTCACTTTTTAAGGACAATTTTGCCAGATGTAGGATTCTGGATGGACAGTTGTTTTCTTTCAGCACTTTGAACATATCAGTACACTGCCTTGTGGCCTCCAAAGTTTCTGGTGAGAAATCTGTCCCTCAGTGAAAACCCCTTGCCTCTCTCTCTTGTGCGTTCAAGATTCTCTCTTTGTCTTCGTCTTTCAAAGTTTAACTATAACGTGTCTCAATATGGGTCTCTTTGACTTCGCCTTACTCAGAGTTTGTTGAGCTTCCTGGATGTTTATATGCATGTATTTTAGTCATTGTTTTTCACATTGTTTCTTCATATATTCTCTATGTCTCTATCTTTCTCTTCTCTTTCTGGAATCCCCAAAACGTGTATGTTGGTCTACTTGATAGTGTGCTATATATAGGTCCCTTAAGCTCTATTCACTTTTCTTCAGTCTTTTTTCTTTCTCTTCCTCAGGCGTCATAATTTTCATTGTTTTGTCTTTAAGTATGCTGATTCTTTCTTCTGCTGACTCAAATTTGCCTTTGAATTCCTCTAGCAAAAATTTTGCTAAATTTTGATTAATGTACTTTTCAGCTCCAGAATTTCATTTTGGTCTGTTTTTAGATTTTCTTTTTTTTTGACATTTCCATTTGTTCACACTTTTTTTTTTTCAGTTGTTCCACATCTTCTTTAGTTCTTTAGTTCTTTGGGTGTCTTTAAGATGATTGTTTAAAAGCCTTTGCTTAGGATATCTGCTATCAGTTCTTTCTCAGTGACAGTTTCTGTTGACTTATTTTTTTCCTTTGAATGGCCATCCTTTCCTGTTTCCTTGTATCCTGTATGACTGTTTTTTGAAGACTTGACATTTGAATCTAACAATGTAGAAACCATGGGAATCAGGCTTTTCTTCTTTCCCAAGATTTGCTATTGCTATTGTTGTTGCTGTTGTTGTTGTTGTTGTTGTTGTTTCTGTGTGATTGCTATACACTATCTCTGTGCTGAGGATCAACCTGAGATGCAAACATAAGGTCATCTCAAGTCATTTCTGAGTCTTCTGCCGGGCATTTGTGGTTACTTTTTAATATCCCCTATATTTGCAGTTGTTTTGAATGTCCTAGTCTTTGATGTCTGGCTCCCAAAAGGAGGCAAATGAAAAAAATGAAGAGGTGGGGGAAGGAGAAGTGACCCTTTAAGTCCCCTGGAAGTCACATCAGCCAGAAGGGAAGGGACTTGCAACAATGGGATGAAGTACAGCAATAATGGCT